TAAAGACTAGATTATTAATGGTGATCAAATAATAAAAAAAAATCTACAACGAAAAAAAGTCGAGATATAAAATTCTGCAAATAGTAACCAATTCATGGGTAACTTACCAGATATTCGTACTTATCCTAAGTCTCTAAGCTGTGTTCCTGGTTGAAGTTTGAGATTCACAAGGATAAGCATATCCTTGGCGGCGGAGGATGTTGGAGTTGATTTATCTATTTATTTAAATATTTTAAAGTTTATATATTTAACGTATGTTTGCATGAGATATTTTGTATAACCATACTCCATGGTATAGTTTATGTTAAATTTACAAAGCATTGAAAACTCCTCAATGTCGTCGTTTCTCTAGTTACGGTGTTGTTAGTTGTCAGTTCGTTGGAAAATACATAGTTTCGGTTAAAGTAGTGGTTTTATTAAAATAAAGTGAGTTTATAGTCTACACAGAACAATGTATCGAAGATCAGGTCGAAGACCCAAGTGATGATACAACAGTCCTATCATGTGAAAATAACATTTTTATCAACTGAAAATAAATTTACACTAATATAAATAAAAATTTAAAACAACTGCAGGCGCCGAATATCAATTTTTAGACCTTTAAATACTATGAATATAACAGGTGGGATTCGATTAGTATTTTTATTTGTAACTTTTTAGACATGAATTTATCCCTTCTAAATGTGTCAACCCTAGACGCGTAAAAAATTTGTGAATAGGTTTAATTTTTTTCTGATATATACCACAGAATTTTAAGCTGATTTTTTTTATACAACTAGAATACATATCAGACTATATCTTGCGATTGAAAAATTTTGCATATATTATGGTATAATGAAGAAAAAAATAAAAACAAAAATAACAAAAATCTTTTTTTCTAATTAACTGCAAGCGTTTACGAAGCACTTAAAACGCTTATTACGTGTAGTTTAAAGAGTTCTATGAAGTACTGTAACGTTTTAAACAAAATATTATTAGTAACAGAGTAAGATTGTTTTTTTATTTTTAAAAAAGAAAAAATATAATATTTTTCAATTTTTATATCTCAAAAAATTCGTGGAATTTTCAAACTCTCATATTTGTATAAATGAGCTCTAAAGAGTTCATCAAATAAATAAGAATGTCCGATTTTACGGTCTCATAACATACTGTGCGTTGGTCCCATCACTTAGAGCCAAGTCAGATCTTAGGCATAAATATATTATTATCCTAAATAAAAAAAATGATATGTTGATACAAATAAATTTCAGGACTGACCAAACTTAGCATGCATTTAGATTTCCCTTCCTTTGTCATGAAAGGTAATAGAGAACAACACAGGCCTGGGAGTATTTGTCTGTAGATAAGTCGAAGGTTCAGGAGTCAGCAAGGATCGTCGGTAGGTTCCGCCGACGACTTTTGGTTACGGTTCAAATGGTGGAGTTATTTCCCGGCTGAAATTCCTCCGGCAGCCTCTGGGAAACAAATGATTCTTCTTGAAATAAAATACCCACAAAATACCTAATAACATAATAAGCGATGAACAGAATGATTAATTATCACTTCTTTAGTTCCCTATGAATAGAATATATTTTATGCTTTGGCAACAAAAAATAGAAAAGTAAAACTGCCATTTCTGAATCAGTAATGATGTAAATTCATATTATAATAGTGTTAAGTGCATTTCTTATTAAAAAAATAGAGACTCGCTATCACCCTCCATACAAATTTGAACTGTCTTCTTTGGACCGCGAGCCCGCGACCGAAGGCACGTCAGGATCGGGGTCGAGCCGTCGTGCGGGCGGTCAGAGCAGTCTGCTGCGCTTGCTGCAAGAATGACCGCCACTATCAATTGTTTATGAGCGCGATTTATTATATTCAAATACAGGCGGTGACTGAAGGCAGTCATTATCGAGTGTTTATTAGCGCGAGTTATTATATTCAAATACAGGCGGTGACTGAATGCAGTCATTATCGAGTGTTTATTAACGCGAGTTATTATATTCCAATACAGGCGGTGACTGAAGGCAGTAATTATCGAGTGTTTATTAGCACGAGTTATTATATTCAAATCGGCGGTGACAGAAGGCAGTCATTATCGAGTGTTTATTAGCGCAAATTATGATATTCAAATCGGCGGTGACTGAAGGCAGTCATTATCGAGTGTTTATTAACGCGAGTTATTATATTCCAATACAGGCGGTGACTGAAGGCAGTCATTATCGAGTGTTTATTAGCCCGAGTTATTATATTCAAATCGGCGGTGACTGAAGGCAGTCATTATCGAGTGTTAATTAGCGCAAATTATGATATTCAAATCGGCGGTGACTGAAGGCAGTCATTATCGAGTGTTTATTAACGCGAGTTATTATATTCATATTCATTTATTGCATTCTTGTTGTTGACATGCTGTTACAAAAAAATATATATATCATTCCAAACAAGAACCCAGTTAGGGTATTGCAATAATCCTAAACTAAATAGATAGAATCTACAGTCACAATTATGAAACGTTCCAATATTACAATTTCTAAATCCTGTATAACATATTGTAAATAATAATTCAATTGTCCAAAATATAATGCAAATGTAAAAATTTTAAACTTAATACTAAGTAACTAGGTAGATCTACAGTCATAATTATAAAACGTTCCAACATTAACAAATTTTCAATCAACCATTTAAAAATTAATTCAATTGTCAAAAATATAATCCAAATGTCAAAATTTAAAACTTAATACTAAATAGGTAGATCTACAGTCATAATTATAAAACGTTCCAAGATAATAAATTTTTAATCTTGTATAACATATTTTAAAAAAAAAATCAATTGTTCAAAATATAATGCAAATGTCAAAAATTTAAAACTTTTCACTAAAATATTCATTAATTGTATAAAATGTCTTACATAGTAAAAAATTCTTTAGTGCAGGCTCAAACTTTTTACCCTGGAGGGTCTTTAAGGAATTAGGCAAATGATTATAAACTTTAATTGCCATGTAGTAGGCGCTATTTTGAAAGACCGTGAGATTCGGTGTGGGCAAGACGAGATCGTTTCCGCGGCGCGATACATAACGTTTTGACATGTCACCGCACCGATGCGACAAAAATACTTACTATGAGTTCTTACAAATCGGCATAGCTCAAATATATAGACGCAAGTAACTGTTAGTATGTTTAACCTTCCAAATAACATTCTACACGAGTCTCTTGATGCTGTGAATGTTATTATTCTCAGACATCGTTTCTGTAAGATAGAAACGGCGTGTACATCGGTTGAGTTTCCCCATAAAATGATTCCATATCGAATCCAAGCGGCGGCATGACTGTGGTACGCGGCAAGTGCACACTCCTCGTTTGTGCTTTTACGTAGTTCGCGTAGACCGTATGTAAAACTATTCAGCTTTTTTACCACAGTCTCTACGTGCTGCTTCCATGAAAGAGTCGAGTCCATCGTGATTCCAAGTAGCTTAAATGATCTGACTTCCTGGATTTGGCGCCCCTGTCTAGATATGGTCAAGGATATCTCAGATCTCTGGTATGGCCTAAACTGCATTAGTTTAGTTTTTTCAAAGTTCAGTATTAATCCTATCCCCTTTAGATGTGCTTCTACTTTATCTAAGCAGCCATTTATAACGCTTGCCAAACTGTTTACATTTGTTTGATCACAAGTAACTAAAATGGTCGCGTCATCTGCAAATAATACTACTTTATGTGGCACCACGTCAGGAAGATCATTAATATATGAAATAAATAACATACAACCGAGCACGCTACCCTGCGGTATAGATCCAGATATATTGCCAATAGGAGAAGTGACTTGCTTTATTTCTCGAGTTTTTTTATCTGCGTGTGTTATTTGAACGTATTGCTTTCTATATTCTAAATAAGAAGAAAGCCACTTTTGTGCTTTTCCTCGTATTCCTAGCCTTGGACATGTCCATATAAATGGCAATAGCACACTTATTTTCATTCAAAGCTTTGAGTATCTCGTAATTTAAATCACAGTTGATGTAGTAGAATGACCCTTTCGAAAACCATGTTGGTCTTCACTGAAAACATTCTATTTTTCAAGAAAAGCATATATTGTGTTACATATAATTTTTTCAAATATTTTTGAAATAACTGATAAAAGGGCGATTGGACGATAATAAGTGACACTACGTTTATTACCTTTTTTAAAAACTGGTTTGATAATCGCAAGTTTTAAACTATCCGGAAAAATTCCTTCGTTATAAGATTGGTTTATCAAGAATGTTATTGGATTCTTGAACTCGTCAACACAGTGTGCAAGAAGTCTAGCCGGAATTTCATCATGGCCGCAAGAGTTGTTACGTTTTAGAGATAATATGACTTTTTTCACATCAGACTCAGATATGTCGCCTAAAAATACAGAATTCATGAGTGAATTCTTTGGACAGTGATAAGAGCTAGTTTGGTTTTTTGAATTAACGCCAATGAAATAATTTTGAAATGAATTTGCAACTATTGTCGGAGAAACCACTTCTTCGTTTCCTTCATTTAAAATTATATTTTCATGTCTTACGTTATTAGCTGGTTTAATTTTTTCATTAATCATGGACCACATTGCTTTAAGTTTATTACTGGAAGTTTTTAATCTATTTATATATGCATTCCTTTTTTCATTCGCCACTATTTTCTTTAAGATTTTATTATATGATTTAGCATAAGCTTTAAGATTTTCATTTTCATAAAAGACTGTTAGGTGACGTAGAATTCGTATATATTCCAATACAGGCGGTGACTGAAGGCAGTCATTATCGAGTGTTTATTAGCGCGAGTTATTATATTCAAATCGGCGGTGACTGAAGGCAGTCATTATCGAGTGTGTATTAGCGCGAGTTATTATATTCGGATACATGCGGCGACTGAAGGCGCGTCTGGGATGGTTCGGGTTCGGGATCGAGCATTAGTCGCGGTCAGGACAGTTTGCTGCGCTTGCTGCAAGAATAATGTCATTATAGAGTGTTTATTAGCGTGTGTTATTATATTGAAAACAGGCGGCGACTGAAGGCGCGTCAGGGTCTGGGTCGGGGTCGGGGTCGAGCAGTCGTCGCGCGGGCGGTCAGGATAGTCTGCTGCGGTTGCTGCAGGCCGCAGACCACGCCTCTGATTCCGTCACACCCACCACCGCTTCAGGTAACTTATCTACTATAAATAATTTATATAGAAGGAATGTTTTAATAAAAGCTATTAAACGTGATTAGTAATTATATACCATTTTGATTCCTATGATGACTTATTAATTTTTGTAATAAATATTAGGTATTAAGGCCCACTTGCAGCAAATTCGATTTTATTCATGCTGTGACTGAGAAAGAATACTACTCACCGCCCCTTCTCTCCCCGTGGGTGCCGTAAGAAGCATCTAAGTGATATCGGAGCTTCCATACGCTCTTTTGGGCCCTTCCGTCCGGTGGGTCGGCGCATCTCCTCTACAGGCAGTCATTCGGGAAAACAAACCTCCCTAATTTGCCCGGACTCTTCGCGACTACGTCCGCTCGTTTTCACGTCTCTTTTTTACTACCACCATGGCAGCCTCTAAAACAAAGTTTGGACGTACAGCGGTGCACACCCCCACGCCTTCAACGCTGTTTGAGGTCGAGTTCTGCAACATACGCGGACTCTACTCTAACCTCAACCCTGTCCACCACCATCTTGAGACAGCGCGGCCAGCATTGTTGTTCAAGACGAAGACACAAATATTTCCGCCTACTGATATAGACTACCTTAACTATCCCGGCTACGTGCTTGAAGTCCTTCAAAGCGAAAGCCGGTGTATGCCTTTATGTTCCGGCGGATGTTTGTTGTCGCCGTCTCCGCTGCTTGGAAGATCCCTCCTCCATGCTGTGGGAACATGTCGACTCAAGTCCCCAGGCCAGAGTCTACTTGAGGTACACGTAGACAGTGGCGGCGCTAGACCACATGTGGACGTCCGCGACATCAAGTTCGCGAGGCCTATTTTACTTCGCAGTAAAAAACCGTTAAATTAAGTGAGCCAAATTATAAAATAACGTATGAGTAAACGAGTTTTATTGTTTTTTTTTTTGGTTAATTTCTCCCTTTTCAGGGAAGGCAAGGGGAACAATGCCCATAAAGCCTAGTCTTAAGTTAAATTATTCTGTTTTTATTTTTACATTAGAATGTCGGTGTGACGCATTCTAATGTTTCTTGAAGTGTTTGGCACGAAATGTATCGAGCTGGCTTTTTCGATAAGCTTCTGTGAGGTAGTCAATACTACAATAAAATTCTTACGTGCACTTGACCGGAATAGCGTATATTTTGACGATTCTACTAATTCTTCAGTAACGCAGACGTTGTAACACAAAATCACACCAATTTTATTTCACAATATCCACTATGAACGAATTCAAGAATAATTAAAATAAGACGCCAACCACACTCGATGAAATCCCGCCAAAAAATTCTGTTGATTCAGTGTTGCCAGACAGACGATTCTGAATACCCGTAAAGTACTACTCGCTTCCATCACGCACGTGTTCGAAATTAATAAAAGTCATTATCATCTGCTTAGCTTTTTCCCCGAATTGTTCAGGGTCGGCTACCTAAGCCAGGCCCGGAGAAACGAAAATAAATAGGTAACTTGTAAAATCTTTTTGTGAGGCCCCCTCAGTCGGCGGTGGCCGACGTCGCCGATGCCTAGCGCCGCCACTACACGTAGACTCTGGCCTGGGGACTTGAGTGTACAGATCCAATACTGGCGATGTTGAGACAACCCGACTTTTCGAATATCTTAGTCGGGCAGCAGATGACGCGCAGGAACAATTTCCCAATGCAGAATTGGTGTTTTTGGGGGACTTTAATGCTCATCACAATTTGTGGTTAAGTTCCTTGAAAACCGACCATGCATGGATCTCTGCTCACGCATTCGCTTTCAAGCATGACTTAAAGCAACTGGTCGATCAGCCCACCAGGATTCCAGATATATCAAGTCAAGCTCCTTCAACACTGGGCCTTCTGCACACGACCCATCCACAGGGCTATCAGGTTGTGGTAACAGCCCCTTTGGGCTCGTTGGATCACAGCCTGGTATCTGCCAAAGCGCCACAGTGCCACAGTTCTGTTCCTCGGTAGCTGACTTCCTGCATGAGTGTAGAATTCGTGTCCTTACGGATGTAGTTCGTAGTAGTTCGCGGTTCATGTCAGTCAATGCCGGCGTTCTACAGGTTTCCGTCCTGTCCCCAACTCTTTCTGCTGCATATCAATGACTTAATTCCATTTGGAAATATTCTTTGCTATGCAGCGGCTGGGCAGGCGATAACCAAGTAAAAACGGGTGCATCTTGTTATTGAACTCAACCAGGCTTTGGACCACATTTCCAAATGGGGTACCAAATACTGGCTGAGTTCATTGCTAAGAAAACCCAGGTCTGTACTTTCACAGCAAAAACGTCGCCATTTTTTCAATTCTTCTCTTCAGGGCACAACACTGAAGCTAGAGAGCAATATCAACATGCTCGGTATGGAAATTCGCTGACTTAAATCCAAAGAATTACATCGAAAACGTGGTTAAAACGGCCTAACGCAAACTCGGAGCCCTGAACAAGGTGCGAAGTTTTTTCACGCCCGAGCAACTGTGCTTGTTGTATAAGACGCAGTTGCGGTCTTACGTGGAATATTTCTCGCAACTCTGGGATGGTTCCGCCAAGTACTTGCTCGATGCTTTGGATAGCTTACAGTGTGATCTGCATCATAGGCGATGAGGAGGTGACCAAATACCTCGAGCCTATTCAACTACGCCGTGACGTGGCGTCATTTAGCGCGTTTTATCGTCTGTACCACGGCGAGTGTTCTGAGGAGTTATTCTCTCTTATTCCACCTTCCCCTTTCCTTCAGAGGACCACGCGCGCTGGCCTACGTTGCCACCGACTAATTGTGGCCACTATTCCAACGCGTACAAAGAAGTTAGGTAACTCATTTCTTTGTCGCACTATCCGTAAATGGAACGCCCTGCCCGCTCACGTGTTCTCTCCCTCTTACAACCTGGGATCCTTTAAAAGAGGCGTGAAAAAACAACATGCAGGCCGGCAGGGTGAGGATGGCTAGTGTGGCAGTTAAAACTGCTGTATCAGCTATGTTCGCGTCCGGACTTCACCGTCACTTAACATTAGGTGGGGTGGAGTCATTTGTCAGACCTATCTATAAAAAAAATCGTTATATCTCGATTCAACCAAAACTAGATTTAACTTAATCCTAGATTAAGTTTAGATTTAATACTAATCTGCAATACTTGGGTGAAAAAATATCGTTGCCAAAACTATTTATCTAAATTGGTACTATTCCAATTTAACACATTGACCAATTTCGAAAAGACGAAAGAAATATGCTAATAAATAATATCTATTTACAAATCATTATCTGGCTTAATGGTAAAAGTAGAAAAGAACGAATGCAGTATTGTTGATCTTTTAACATTCCTTCTTTTAAAATTATTATTATAAGTAAACACCCCTCTGCCGTATATAGCGATCGCAACTTTGTAGCGGTTGTGAAGTTATCAACAAACGCAACTTACTGTGCGCAACAGTTCAGGGTGAGACTGGTAGGTATTCATTCATATTTTCATTTCATTCACTGCACCTCGAATTGCGCTAACTTCACAGCCGTCATTAAGTGTGACTCGCACTGTACCAATATTTTTTTTTAATTAAGCATCTTAACAGATAAAATAACGTCCCTTCTGCCGCCACTTCACATGGCCATTCCTAATTGTTAAATCAGGTCTCCCGCGCGTTTTGATCTACACAATCAACAAAAACATAATTCAACAAAATCGTCTATACACAAAACTTCGTTCTACTACACATATTTATTTGCATCAACAAAGCTTTTTTTGCTTTCCGTGCCGGAAGGAAAACACTTACACAAATCCTCCCCGTGCGGGTCGAGGGGCAGGGTATTCTTTCATTGGCCAATTTTCAACAACGTTCCAAAGCTACGCTCCGATTACAAACAACTTTTCACTTTGTGTCACGTTTAAATTTATACATAAAATGTACGAAACTTATGTCAAATTTGACATTTGTTACACCTGGATCGTAGTATTTGAAAGGAGCAGTAGACGGCGTGTGTAGAGAAATATATTTCCTGAACTGTCACTGGCATTCAAATAAATATCTTTGTCGCACTGTATGTATGTGACATTTTTTCTTTTTTCCAGGTGCAGGTCGTTCGGTGATAACCCCAGAAATGTTTAGTGAGGCCATATCTGAAGCTATAAACAGAGCCAGTAATTCAAGAAACCTGACTGGTACACCCATGGAGCAAAGTACTGCTGGCAAGTACTTTTATACACCGCAAATTTACTTTCTTATATAGATCATTCAACACAAATGACGTGTGAAACTAATTTGCATTGTACACCGTGAATTTTGAATGCGAGAAAAACTTAACATTAACGCAATATTTTTTTACCCGGCTGCGCAATGCAAGAGCGCGAAGCGCGACGCGCAGTCAGGGTTATGTGTTTAACAGTCTATATATGTATGTTTGTTCCTTTGTCCTTTGTCCTAGAGACCAAACGCCTGGACCGATTTTGATGATTCATACATCAATCGATTCGTCTCAATCATGGGAGTGCTACTAAAGATATGATAGTAATCAAAATTCAATATGAGCAAAATTAAGCGCCATATTGTGACGAAGTAAAAAAAATAAGTTGACAAAATATGTCGAGTGGGGTATCACTGTCTAGATAATCAAAAATCATATTTAGGTTCCTAACACCATTTTTCATTTTATGTGATTGTTTAGGATCTACAACGCTTTAAAGTTGTATATTAACCACTTACGCTTTTAATTTCAATCTTACGTTTATATGGATCTTTGTTACTCTTTCACCTAAAAAATACTGAATGGATTTTAATGAAACTTAACAGTAATAAAGCTCATATATGATAATTACATATATATAATAATTTATGTAGTTATTGAGTGAATTGGCCAATGTATAACAATAAGTGTCACATAAGACGGAAAAAAATCTCCCATCTGCGAGCCATTTTGGCCTGCACTGCAAAAACAATAAAAGTTATATAAATGTAATGTAGAGTGAAAATGTATCTCTTAAATAGTTCTAAAAAAAGTCCACGATACCATATATCTATTTTTAATGTGTGAGTCATTACCGCTAAAATAGTGAATCAAAACTAAAACATTATTTGATATCTATTTCCAAAAATGCACATTTTGATTAACAAATCATTTTTTATCAAAACAAATACTTTTATCGCTTTTGATATTTAAACGCGATAAACTTTGCTTTTTACACTATGTCATTTCGACAAATATTTAAAAAGTTACAACGATGACAAAGTGATAGCGCGGTGTACTATGTAAGAGAAAAAATGGGGTATTCGCAGTATCTGATCCTATACGAAGTACTAACAATAAAACTGTGATACAGTTCCTTCTTATTAAATGATGAAAAATATATTATCATAATAGATATTTATGATTATTGAATTTTAATGAAAAACTCAGAATTTTACTGCTTTTCATTTTTTTAACGATATTACTTAATGTTACAAAAAAGGTTTACTTAATATAATGACAAATAACCCATTTTTCGCTAGTAAGTACATACTTATTGCAATCCCTGTATTTATTAATCAGCTCGCGATAATATTGGTTTTGTAATAATTCTGCAAAATTCAAAGTAAATAATGTAGATTGTTATAGGTAAATCACACCTGTCATCACCCTACGCCTATAAGTATTGCGATGTTGTAGCTAAGAACCAAGTTCCCATCTACTTCTGTATGGGAATTCATTATATTCGATTTAGCTATTAGGGCACGGAAGCGCAACAAACAAACTCACTTTCGCATCTATAATATTATATTATATTACGATCCACCCGGGCATTGTACGGGCGAAATTTATTTATCGGGATAAAATATAGCCTATGTCACTCGGACAAAATGTATTTAAATAAAGAAAAATGATATATTAAATAATGTAGCTACCTTATGATGAATTAATATTTGAAACCGGTTCAGTAGTTTGACAGATTAATTGTTACAAACATACAAATCTTGCCTCTTTATAATATTAGTATAGATAGTTAGGATAAGATAAGTATTTAATTGATGAAAAAGATTTAAAAATAAAGTAAGCAATAGGTTTATTTCATTATATTTGTAAAAGTTACTTAGCATTTGTGCTTAACAATGATACGTCATTTGGTATTTTTTTAAACAAAAAAAAATTGGGAAAATAATTGCCATGATTGCACTACTGGGAGTACTCTTTATTCGAGCTTTACACTACCAATAAAAAAGGGTCGAACACAAAGTCTTTGACCTGTTAAATGTGAACGCTTTAAAAGAAAACTACAAAGAGAACTATAAATTGATAATAAATGAGATTGCTATGGTGCTCTACCTAACGTTATGAAAATTTTATTATGCGCCTTTAGTTTAATCAAATATTATAAACTTTGCTTTGGTGATTGCATAATTATTTAATTTAGTGATCTAAGGCAGTTGCCACCATTGCCCAAAACAACAGACGGGAATTACTGCTTTCTTCAACCTGCGACATAAACGTCATTGATTGCTATTTTAGATAGGGTGATTAAAAACATTTGAAGATAACTTCTGGCATCTACATATTAGGTTTCTGTGAATTATGTAGGTATATCAAATTATGAGACTAGGGACTGACACTGAATTTGTGTATATCATAATCTTAGACGTCCGGCATTGACATGACAATGCAGCCACTGCCAATTTTAAATAGTCGACGAATAAAAGTAAATGAATTTTATATTTACTGCTAAACTATTAAAAAATACATAAACAAAAGATGAATTTTTGAGTAAGTGCTAGTTTACTATAAAATTTACATACATTAGAGATATTTATGTAACGACTTGATTTAACTTAACACATTTTTGCGAAAATTGAGGCCCATCTGTAGCCTTGACCCCGCTGGTAAAGTCTTTATATGTCTTAATAAATCAATCTTTTACACCGACGCAAGGTACTTAATAATTCCCGCGATATTAATTCCCTGAAGTAACAAGACTACGGTATATACCGTCTTAAAATACTAACTAACTAAAAAGTGTGAAATAAAAAAGGTAAAATTAAAAAATCAAAAAACCCGACTGCTTAATTATACTTCAAATAAAAACTGAAAAGAAAAAAACAAGTCCAGTAGTCTATAATTCTGTTAATAAGGAACAAAGCTACTTTAACAGTCGGGACCCACTGTTGAAAAATATTATGTATTCTTGAATATCTAATGGGTCCCGACTGTTAAAGTAGCTTTGTTCCTTATTAACAGAATAGGCTAGTTGACTCATGTCGAATTGTATTAAATAAATGTTTATTTCATAAAGTATTTGGTCTAAGGAACCTAAATATATCAATTTCACTTCATAAAAGCAGAAGATTGCTGTAGAAATTTAATTTTAAAAAATATTTTTTAGTCTATATTTTTTAAACACTAAAAACGCTGTTCGCCACATCCGCCATGATTGTGACGTCTCATATGGTAAACAACTAAATGTCATTCGCGTGTTATTGTGGGTGGATTCTTTCGTCTGACTAAATTTATCATAAAAACACTTTTAACTTTAGAAAAATTTCCGTTTACTGTTTTTTTTTGAAAAAACTAAGTATGGATGCCGGCTTTGTGAAAACAGAAAGCACAAATCTGCCAAGAATTGACGTATTCATGGTTGGTGAATTTATTTCACTAAACCCCGATTTCTGCTCTGCGGAGCAGAGAAACGACAAGGCATCTATGTAAGTACAGTGTATTTAGTATTACAATGGTGTCGATTCTGGCATGATTCTCTAAACCTAAAGTTAAATTTGACAGCAGTATATCCTTGTCATTCTCTATACAGAATGAGAAGGAGAGATTGATGTTAAATTTAGTTTTAAGTTTAGAGAGTCACACCAGAATAGGCATGAATGTAGTAATAAACATAAAACTGATACAACATATGAATAAGTGTAATAAAGTTGCGTAGGTTAATTTCTTTCGGCACATTTAATTCACAACTTTCCTGGAATCTTCAAGGATGTGTTTTTATATTCTCGTACAATACAATAATGATAATTACTTTATTTTTCGGGGTATTTATTAGAAATCATCTTTTGTTTATTATAAAGTCAGTTATTTTCTTACGAGTTTTTGTTTATTTACTTTTCTCTATGTGTTTACTGCAGTTAACGTCATAGCATAGATAATCTATAGACTAAAATGGCCGATAGCGTTTTTGTATGTCCATGAAAAATCTATTTTAAAATTAAAGATTTGTAGCTTTTTAGGTCTCAAAAAAATACAATACATTTTTTTTCGGTCTAATAGAACATTTATTAACCATTTAAAACCTTTTTCCAAAAAGGGTCAACTAGCCTATTATAGACTACTGGACTTGTTTTTTTCTTTTCAGTTTTTATTTGAAGTATAATTAAGCAGTCAGGTTTTTTGATTTTTTAAATTTACCTTTTTTTTTCTATATTTATGAAGTGAAAACTTCTTTAGTATCATTGTGACTTGAGATTCGATGAAACGGAAGTAGAGTATTTGGCACAAGATAGGTATCCGTAATTTTGTCATTTACTATAAGAGACAGTTAGCCGTTTTTTTTTTCGTTTAAGCTATTATTTATTTTTCGAAACAATTCAAGATATAGAATATTTAAATTTGCCCAGTGTTTTACAATACCTGAATAGTTAAAGATTAAACGTTTAGTAGGTGCCTAAGTTGTTTATTAATACAGGTTTCGTTTTTATCAACAATCCTTACCTTTCCAAAAATAATTATGGGTGGACCACTCTAAACATCCCCATAAGGCATGAAAAATAGATGTTCTCCGATTCTCAGACCTACTGAATATGCATTTGAAATTTCACGAACATCGGTCGAGTCGTTTCGGAGTAGTTCAATTACGCACACCGTGACACGAGAATTTTATATGGTGTAGTACGTTTACTGTTAATAATTGTTCTCACTAAAATCGTATAAATGAATTTAACGAATTTTAAGTTTCTCATATAACTCGCAAATTCGCGGTGTATTTGCATAAATTAATTTGACTTTCCTATGCGATTCCAGCATCTTCATCTCAAAGTCCAGTGGCGAGAGATGAAGATTATGTGTCACAGCTGCAGCGTATGCATGAAATGGGACTTCTGGATGACGCCCTCAATGTTCGGGCTTTACTGATATGCTCAGGTAAACTGTCTAGCTATATATTTTTAATTTCAACATTGCGAAATGATCGATTTTATTTTGAAAAATTAACGAGTTTATCAAACTTGAAATTTTAGTTTTTTAGAGAACAGTTAATTGTTTTTAATATCGTTCTATAAAATTTTATTCATATTCATTCAGTTTTAAATAATTTCGGCTTGTTTTTAAATATACGAGAATACTGATTTGAGTAACTTCTGCAATGTCTCCTCTTTTCGATTTTTAAGGTGCTTCTAATATTTAGTATTTCCTTACAGGTGATGTAAATGCAGCTATTAATTTGGTATTTAGTGGAGCCATTGGAGACGATTAAAACTTTATGAAATCAAAATTACGTGCCTATAGATAGAAAAGGGATAAAACTAAGACCGTCGTGTAAACTGTATTGTTTTTCTGTTCTATTACACCTTTTTGCTTACACGATAGATAAATAGAATGTACATACCAGAGAACAAAAACTATGCAGACATCATTAATTTCGTATGCTAACTTTTAACATTTTGCTTAAGCTGAAACCAATTCCATTTTATCCTCATTCTAACTTTAAAGAAACTGGGTGTTTTGTTTATAGTGGGAGAAAAATATGTAAAACAGTATATACCATGTATCAAAATTTTAATGAAAAATAAATATTATCCATAATACATCTTTTCTTTTGGCGTAATGTCATTATCATATCACACGTCTGTAGTTACTGTACGGAGTCCGCTTTTTCCCTAAAGGCGTCCGCTGCCTTAAGCGATTGCACTGTACAGACGTCCCCTGGCGCTGTAATTTTGTCATTTATCAGTGAAAAGCAAAATCGCTTATGCGCCACTATGGTTGGTGATTAATAATTATCGTAATTTCAGTTTTGTTAATGTTCATTTTTAAGCAGCACCAAGTGGCGTATAAGTGATTTTGCTTTTCTACTGTCGATATTATCACTCATTGAGCAGCGCTACGTGGGGTAGTACCCACGGGGCACTCTCGAATGTCTTCTGTCTGTGCTCTTGTCTGCGTCGTCTTTTGGCAAGGTATTATTATCAACAAGAATAATACACTGTTCACCCGCGCGATCGAAATTGTACTGGCGGCTTTGTAATGGATCATATACACGACGACACTGACACCCGACACTAGTGTCGATTGTATCTTCACGGTAAGCAAATTAATGTCTCTACATTCATGTAAACAACTTTCCCCCTTGTTAATAAACAAGGAATAAGCTTAGACTTGTTACGCCGTGTTTTGTTCATGTCACTCAAATGCCATTTGTCATCCAATAGACAAAACATAGTAGTAGCTAATCCAAGCGTAGTCTTCGTTTATTAATAAGGGGGCTAGTGTCCCGGTTCAAATGTATTGACTGTCTATTGCACGTCCTGTCTCCATAGCTGCAACACGGACACTGAACGAAATCGCCACTAAATCTGCAACGTGTCGTTGACACACAGAGACAGTCAATGTATACATTGTGTTTACTTACCATGAGAGACAGAGCACGGCGCGAGTCCCCGCGGCGGACGTCCGCGCCGTGCACCCACTTATAATAAAGCAGCGCACGGTCTAAAAATATTGCTTTAAAATAATATTAAACTTTGGTGCTGCAAACTATTTAAGAGTGTTACTAGGCTACGCACAGAAACACGGGTTATGGTTCACACTAGAGATGGGCGACGGGAAAATACACGGGTAACTATAGGTAAACCGCGTAACTTACTTGGTTACATATATTATGTTCATCTATACTATCTGAAGTTGAGTACATCAGCAGAGCAAGTTTGTGAACATCTTAGGTAGACGATCTGGTGAAGAGGACGAATGACGTAGGACCGATCAGTGTTTCATGGTGAGGAGAGATCTATGCTCAGCAGTGGGCGTCGTATGACTGACATCACCATGATGACCGGTCCCTTTATTCCACTTGACGTGACTTGACGATCACGGAACATGAATAAAACACTACTTATTGGTATCTTTTATTACCATTCAATTTCATATTAATAATTTAAAGGCAAGATTGCGGAAATGTCAAATTAACTGTAATCTATGAATAAAGCTATCTTAATACCTATTGGTAGTTAGTGTCGATTTAGTTATCTATTTTCATAAGGTCATCGGCTAAATATTAACATCTAAATGATACAGTTAATCCAATTCGGTGACTTCTATACCATTTTCGCATAAATGTTGCGTAGGTAGGTATGGTGCTAATAAAACTTAACTGTGGGTGCACAAAAGAGATAGGTAGTAGTGGGTGGTTGTGGTGGGTGTCGCAAGTGGCATCGCAACAAAATGTACGATGATGTGTCGGTACCTGCGGGCCACAGAACAAACTGTAACCCTCGCTGTTATCTTTTCAACCGCCACAAAATTTGAATCGCACTATACGGTATTATGTTATTAACTCGAGTAAGTAACTACCAACAACGTCAAAAAATTTGTCAACTCTATCAAGAATTATTGTTGTACTATTTTTCATAAAATGGCAAGTGGTACCTTTTTCAATGTGGTAATATCTTATATCATAGAATTCATTATATATTAATTAAATTAATTATCACATGGGGCCCTATAACGTTTGTTTATTGTAAAATACTTCAAATATTAATTTTCAAATTACTGATTTGACATATAAATTTCTAAAATCACTACAATGAAATCTACCTAGTCCTAATATACTAAATCAAACATCGAAAAAATTACAAATACTTTTTGTAATAATAAATGTTCATAAAATCTATTGTGTTCCTAAAATAGTTTTTCTCGGTAACATCTCGATATTGATGATTATTTTTTAATCATCTGTATACATTTCGGACCATTTTGAAGTAATTAAATGCATATATATCGAAGAGTAAACTATGTAAGTTTCAAAAAATTGTAGGTGTTCATTCTTCACTCCATATTAAACCACTCCACCAAACCATTTTTGAATATTAATATTTCATTTTAAAATTCATATTACGTTTGGATAATTTTCTGTATGTGCTGTTGTCCCCTTTGGTGCGGCATTGCTCTCGACGATGCATGCGACGGAAATACCAACCAGCATTGTTTTGACTTGATTGTCCAAATAATTCTTGTTCTAATTTTTTACGAGCTTGGTTTCGAAAATCGGCTCGTTTTTCAAACCAAGTGGTATCTTTTTCTTTATTCCCAATATTTTTTCCATGTTTTGATTTTCTCTCCATTTTGGCTTTTGTGTTTACATCTTTAAGTTCTGAAGATTTTGGATTGAATTTGTTCTCCTGTACTACATAGTTTTCCCTTTCAATTGCTATATCTGGAATATTCAATATATCCTCATTTTCTTGGGTAGAAGAAATTGAAATATCATCATAATCTCTTAAATAACCACCCTTTAGTTCCCATTGTTCATACTTATTCTTTCTCTTTTGTTTTTTGTGCAGTTTCTGCCTATCGTACTTCTTTCTTTCCTTTTTATGCCTTTTCTCTATATATCTATTATCTTTTTTGAATTCTTCTTCACTAACAGAGTAACCTGTAGTATCTAAATTTATGTTACTTTCTTTTATCTCATTATTGATTGCTTTTACTGCATGTTTTTCTGTTGTAATATCTAAATCTGTTCTTAGAATATTATTTAGTTTTACATCTGATTTAAGAGAATCGGCATAACTGATTTTTTTTTCTGGTGAATAATCAGTTGTATGTTCATCTTTAATAACTGGTATGCCAATATCTTCAATAAATTGCGAGTTAGTATTAGTTGTTGGTATTTCACTGATTGATTCTAATAAATCAACCTTTGCATGTTTCTGATCATGATGTTTATTTTTTTCAAGTTTGGTGGACTTAAATCTTATCTTCTTCTCTGTACTGTCGGCACATTTTTCTTCTGCTTTCAATCGTTTACCAATTTCATAATCTAGCCAAGTTTTGTTTTGATTGTAAATATCTTTCAGTTTGTTGATTTCTTGTAAAAATTGGTTTCCCTGTTCTAACTCTACCAGATGAATGCCTGTTTTAGGTTTTTCCTCATTATCAACACATTTTATAGATTTATCAGAATTTCTGTTATTTATAGAATCTTCAAATACTTTTTTACACTTATTTTGTCTATATGAAAGTTTCTCAGTAGCAGACTTTCCTCCATTCAAGTGTGCATAGTTCATTTGATATTCTTTCAATTTACTTCGTAAATAAGCATTTTCTTCTTGTAATTTATAAAGATTTGACAGAATTTTATTTACTGATGGCATTTTGTTAACCGTGCAATCATTTTTAGCTCCCCACATATGACCAATAGCCACACCAGCAGCAGTAATAACACTGCCTAAGACAATTATGTTAAGTACCATACTTAATCTTTTATTTCTCTTGTGGACATATGTTTTATGTTTACTACTACTGTTGCCAAGAAAATCATCATCATTAGACTCTTGGAAGACAGTATCATCAATGTAAGCTGACTGTATGGGACTAGAAGATACATCTCTTTCAGTTTCAAGGACATCATTGCATTGTTTGTGGTCAATCTCATGTAATATTGGTGATTCTGGTTCACTGTCACTAATAATAGATAGTCCATCAGTATCATCATCTTTTTCTTCATTAGTTACTCTCAAGTCCCTGAAACAAATTGTCACACATTGTATTCATGAATACTTACATGCCAGCAATATGCACTTTACATAGCTATATATAGTATTTGCTATTTTGCTTAGGTTGTTCTCTTTTATGACTAAATATGATGTAATGTTGCTATGTCAGTTAAGATAACAGGTTGGTACAGTCCAACTTTATAGACCTAAGAAGCAAACAAAGATTTTGATTTTGTGCCAATCCAATGAATTACTATTTCCCTTGCCAACAATATCGTAATGTTAAATTGATATTGCTTATACTAAATAATAAAAACTTTAGGATTAAATTTATTTATTAATGGCTCACTCAGGATTTCGCCAACATCTGATTGCATAGTTTATTTTTGCTTAAAAAAATCTGATAGTACATATGGTACTGACATAACCTGTCATTAAAGCATTCTTTCAGCATTGTAGAAACAAAACCTAACTAAGCACAGTGCAGCACATACTTCTACTACCATATTCATGCCGCCTTTGACCTATTAGAGGCCCTGGGCATATTAGGATAATGGGCCCTATGACTTCCGTTAGGTGTAGGGTTGCAACGATATATCGGAATATCGATATTTATATCGATATTTAAAATTCACTGATATCGATAATATTGATATCGGAAATTCCAAAATATTGATTTTTCTTAGACTAAATTTGAATACAATAATATCAATTAATTTACCTGCTATGACTATCTACATTGAATAATATAGATATAACTATTGCTTTGAAATCGCAAGAGCTTATAGATGTATTAAAAAAATCTTGAACCCCAAGAAATATATTAAAACTGGTGTGGATTCTGGCATGATTCTCTAAACCTAAAATTAAATTTGACAACAGTGTATCCTTGTCATTCTCTATACAGAATGAAAAGGAGAGACTGATGTTAAATTTAGTTTTAAGTTTAGATAAATAGCCAAAATCGACACCAACGTATATAAGTATAATCGTATACCTAATGGTAACTCATGCACTTAAATAAAATCCTTGCCTCTCTTTCTAGATAATTGTCAACCACTGATTAATTGAAATTTAATATCATTGAAATATAACACAAAATAAAATTAAGAATCTTATACAAATCGTAAATTTTTTAATCTCGCCAAGTCAAGAAAGTAAGATAGGTATAGTAATTTTGGAAGCTTTAGGCTTACCCTATTCTGAAGCCATGGGCACGCCCCTGATGTGTGGGTTTTACTAATACATAACAATTGTTTTTCATATGATTATCTATTCTGATTTTGGCTGCGTGCAAACATTTTAAACAAAATAAATATCTTTGATTCGAAATAGCTTTTGATTTGATACTTCTTACAGCGTTATAAAAATATAGAAATGTTGGAATGGCTGATACATCGGATGGGATATCGATATTTACCTGCCCACATTATAAATATCGATATTTCGGAAACATTTGCTTCCTCTATTATAGGTTTTTGCTTTGCAAACTAAATACAAAGCAAAAAAAAAAGAAAAGAATTTCGATATATCGATAATATCGAGTTAAAATGGTCAATATATTGGATATCAATATTTTCCTGACTTCAATATAAATATCGATATTTCAAAAGACTTTGCATCCCTAGTTAGGTGATTTAACAGGAACTAGGGACTTTGTACTTGATCTGATGGGGCCCTGGGCACTTGCCCAAAGTGCCCAATGGGAAAGACGGGTCTGACCATATTCTTTCCTGATTATAATCTAAGAGGAGAGAGGCCTCCAAGTAGAACAGTGCACAATACAGCGCAGGATAGCTACATGTTTATTTTTCAGCATTAAAAAGTTAGCTACGCACCCTCTGCCTAGCTCTGATGCTCTATCTGGAAAATCAGGGACTTCTGCATGTGCCGGTGTATGGTCAAGTAGTGTCCAGCTTTCTCCAGAGTCAGAATCACTGTGGTCCATTTTTGAGTATCTACAACTAATACGTATTTTAGGAGTTACAATTCATAGAAAACTTAGTAAAAAAACTTTACAAAGGCGCCAACTTATCGAAATTTGCAAAAACTGTAGAAAGTCTGAATACGTTTTAATTTTTATTTCTAATTTTTATAACATTATTATTTTTGTTTTTGTTTCTGAAAAAAATGTCAATGTCAGTCAGGTGACAGACAGTGTTTTGTTTTTATCACAGACTAGGCATTTAGCCAGAGCGCTTAAGTACGGTTTTTTGACATTTACAATTACATGTGTAACTGAAGTGAAAATTGCTTGAGTAAACCAATCGCGTCACAACACAACAGATAAGTATATTTCTGCCTTTACTCTGTATATAGTGGTAGCTTTCCAATTACAGCATTATAGTGCATTATGCGGCATAATGCTTAACGTTGAGTGTTTCAACTACAGCAACGCTTCGCACAATCGAGCACTCTCAAAAGTAATTTTTTCGTGTGATGCGTACAATCGTTCCAACTTAGTGACAGCAAATTAAGTGTTTTTTCTATAAGTTGGCATTGATCGAAATGTTTTATTTATATGTTATCGTTAGTTTATATTATTTATTGTTGAAAAATTATTAAAACTTTCGTTTCATCATAGTTTTTTTTAAATAATCAAAGTTAATTCAAACTGTGTTAAAAAATTTAATATAAATATGGATAAAGGTACAAACATTGACTTTTTTTTTCAACACTGAACTTAGCGCACTCTGCTGGTGCATTTGAAAACTAATTCACGTTCCAATTAAGCATCAGCATAATTCGGCATTGTGCGCCACTGAGTCGCATTATGCTCTGTAATTGGAAAACAACCGCTTTATAGTCTATCTATGAAGTAAGTCCATGGTCATTGATAATGGCAGTACGTGTCCGTCATGCTAGCGTACACAAAAACGAGTTCAAGGTTGTTACTTATGCTATTAAAGGTTGCTTTCCAATTACAGAGCATAATGCGACTCAGTGCCGCACAATGCCGAATTATGCTGATGTTTAATTGGAACGTGAATTAGTTTTCAAATGCACCAGCAGAGTGCGCTGAGTTCAGTGTTGAAAAAAAAGTCAATGTTTGTACCTTCATCCATATTTATATTTAATTTTTAACAAAGTTTCAATTAACTTTGATTATTTAAAAAAAAATATGATGAAACGAAAGTTTTAATAATTTTTCAACAATAAATAATATTACTAACGATAACATATAAATAAAACATTTCGATCAATACCAACTTAAAGAAAAAACATTTGTTAATTTTCTGTCTCTGAGTTGGTACGATTGCAGGCATCACACGAAAGCATTACTTTTGAGAGTGCTCAATTGTGCGAAGCGTTGCTGTAGTTGGAACACTCAACGTTAAGCATTATGCCACTTAATGCGCTATAATGCTGTAATTGGAAAGCTACCAAATAGTGCCGCATTAATGCAATAAAAAAAGAAACTTCCTCTTTAGCCTAGGAAATAATAACTGTTTTCATATTGTATGCTGGCGTGACAGTCAAACTGGCGTAATTTTTTATTATTGCACTAATTAGGCACTATTTAATAGCATAAGTAACAACCTCGAGTTCGATGTGGTGTCTCTCGTACAGGTAGCGGTATTTGATACCTATGTGCACAGACTATTAGAAGCTTACGCATCCTATGTGGTTTTCCGTTAAGCCAGAAACATATTAACGTGTCGTGACGCATTGGTTTCATACATTTATTATGGGTTAGAGAGAGAGATAAGAGAGTCGCCACGACACGTAAATATGTCTCCTATGTATCGAAGTCCAGACGTGAAGATAGTTGGTACAGCAATTCTACCTGCCATATCAGCCATCTTCACCTTGCCGGCCTGCATGTTGCTTCTTCGCGCCTCTTTTAAAGGAAAGAAGGAGGAAACATGTAAGGAGGCAGAGCACTCCATTTACGGATAGTGCAACAAAAAATGAGTCGCCAAATTTCTTTGTACGCGTGGGAATTGTGGCCAGACTTAGACGGTGACAACGAAGGTCAGTGCCCGTGGTCCTCTGAAGAAAAGGGGAACGTGGAATAAGAGAGAATAACTACTCAGAACATTCGCCGTGGTCCGTGGTACAGACGATAGAACTTACACGGTTGAACATGCCAAACGCATAAGAGCGCGAGCAGGAAGACCAGGTTGTATCTTTTTTTCCGCCCTACTCAAAACACCCGGATAGCTGCCAAACATCTACCAGGTAACGGAGTTAATGTGTATGCCTGGAGTAACTATAGAGGCCTAGCGCGGAAAGAAGGGGCCCGCCCAGTGCCATAGATGCCAAGGCTTCACGCATTCCTCAAAAGGCTGTCACCGCCCCATCGCCTGCGTAAGATGCGGAGAGCCGCACGCCGCCGCCGACTGAGCCAAGGCCAAGATTACGAAGACGGGATGATGAAGAGGACCCCGCCACATGCGTCAACTGTGGTGGCCCACATCCGGCCAACCATTGGAGTTGCCCGACCGTGAACAAGGAAACAAGAAACCCGAACGCAAGTAAAATCGCCAAAACAGGCCCCATTTTAGGACCCATAACGAAAGCTGCAATCAAGCCGAGCGAAGTGAGCGAGACAGCAACAGCGACGCTTATGGCCCCAGCTAACACCCCCAAAATGCGACTACCCATCCCAGCACAAAACGCGCCTACCCGAAGAAGGATAAGAAAGAGAGGGAAAGGCCCCGCCCACACCGACCCAGACTCCGCCTACCAAGAAGGTATGAATAAAGCTCACCTACCTACCGCCGTCCCAAAACAACAACACACACCGAACACAAACATAACACCGGAAATGCAACAAATGCTCACCAACATCATAAGTGAGCAAATCCAACTCTGCTTCCGTCAATTTACGGCTCAAAATTCCGGCCGTTGAAAGTAATGCATTGGAACGCGCAATCGCTCACGGGAAAGCGTCGTATGCTCGAACACTTTTTACACGAGCACGACATCGACCTGGGGGCCAATCGCGTAACTGAATTGCTTTGGAAAACGCTATCGCTTACGATTTCATTTTGTTATTTCTAGCCCCCTGAGGTTTTCAAATGCCTCGCGCTCTTTTTTTTTCTTTTGCATTGGTAATAACAATGTTAAAGATAATGAGCGTGAGGTATTTCGGCGGTTAGAAATAACAAAATGAAATCGTAAGCGATAGCGTTTTCCAAAGCAATCCAGTTAGGCGATTGGCCCCCTGGCGCTCGTGAGCGAAACCCTACTTAAATGCATTGCCTTCAACGTTCGGAATTACATTGCGTACAGAAAAGACGAATTATCGCCAGAAGGACGACCAATAAGAGGCTTGCTTATATTAATAAACCAAAGAATTATACACCAACCGGTATCATATAAGCAACTGTGTATCTACGCATTAGGAGTCGATATTAATTTAAACGGCACCAACACCCGTTTCTATGCCGCATATAGGCCACCACGTAGCACTTTTGACGCTAAGGAACTCCGCAGCCTCCTGCACCCATTGCCTACAATAGTTGCTGGAGATCTAAACGCCAAAAGTCCGCAATGGAACTCCACCATTGAAAATGCAGCTGGAAGAGCCCTAAAAAACTACGCATTCGTACACGAACATCACATATTAGGACCAGACGAGCCGACACGGTACGACTCCGAGGGATACGGGGACATTCTGGACGTGGTGGTGACCAGGGGAGTCGACTACCCCATCACCCAGGGAGTGATGGCGGACCTGCCTCGGATATAGTAGATAGATGATAAGTTTTTTGTCTGTCTGCTCGATGGTTAGCGTCCAGGGGGCCAATCGCCTAACTGAATTGCTTTGGAAAACGCTATCGCTTACGATTTCATTTTGTTATTTCTAGCCCCCTGAGGTTTTCAAATGCCTCGCGCTCTTTTTTTTTCTTTTGCATTGGTAATAACAATGTTAAAGATAATGAGCGTGAGGTATTTCGGCGGTTAGAAATAACAAAATGAAATCGTAAGCGATAGCGTTTTCCAAAGCAATCCAGTTAGGCGATTGGCCCCCTGATTCCTTTGTTTATATGGTAAGAAAAGAATAACTCCAAAGTCCCGCTGGAGTTTAAAGATAAATTGAAACAAATGGTTCCCCATTGATTAACTTATTTAAAAAGCAATTACATGAAAGCCTTATACATGTTACATAGTAATTATAAATTTCAAAAGTTAATACCTACTACTGACCGTGTGTAAACATAAGCATCATAATCCATTATAAAATAAACAACATTAAAAAATAAAAGCATTTTAAACTAAAGAGTCTTTCACAGTAAAAACACTTGGTTTTTGAGGGGTTGGAAGCGACGTTTTCCCCTTATTCACTACGCGTTTCACAGTGGGCCATCGATTGGCCAAATTTTGAAACCGTACACTGGCACGACTACTTTCACCTAATTCACTGACACTCAGCTGACGGTCAGCTGTACTCTGCTTTCGCGATTGCACTTCACTATACACTGGTTCTTTTGCTGGCGCTGCCCTGGGCAGCGGTGTCGGCGAAACTGCTGGCTCCTGGTGACCCCGCTGGCGGGGCATCCTCCCCTGGCGATGTGAGTGCGTTTTTGATCGCAAGCAACATTTTTGGTTCTTCCAAATCCATACTACACCAATACCTAGTGCTATTACCACGAGCACATAAAGTATGCTGTATTGGTGAATATCATGCGATGATACGTCATCAATGGTTATTTTGCTATTCTTTAATTCTTTAATCTGCTTTTCTAGATTCATCAGGGAAGTATTTAAGTTCAATTCAGTTGGTTCACTAGATTCTGTGTAGTTCTCTATTGGAATTTTCACGTTCACAATATGATTAATTTGGTCTATTTCTGGTATCAATATGCTTGGTGAGTAATTTATTTGGTTCTTCTTTGTATGTGAAAAATGCAATGTAAAATCTTCGCCCTTGATTATGCACTCTGAGCTCATGCCAATGAGCCCGGCACCTGTTAATTGACAAACGGTAACTTGATCATTGCAAATTATTTTTATTGTATAAACATTGCAACAAAAGTATAGGTACTGGTCTGATGAGTGTAACTGTATCCATTTGTTTTGTCCACTAGTACAGGGTGTCAGTAATGTCAGAAAAAATATTAACGCAGCAGCTATGGTTGTAAATGTATTAGTCATTGGTGATCTCCGTCTGGTTTTTGGTTTAATTAAATATTTATCTTTTTCTTCCTGTTCTGGTTGCGCTGGTTTATCTTGTAGGCCGTTGTGTTA